TGTGTGTGTGTGTGTGTGTGTGTGTGTGTGTGTGTGTGTGTGTGTGTGTGTGTGTGTGTGTGTGTGTTCGTGTGTGTTTGTGTGTGTGTGTGTCCGCGCATTTGTTTGTTTGTGCGCGCGCATGTGTTGGGTGTCGGTTTTGCCACTTTCCAATCGATCGAACAGTCACTCCTTCAATAGGGCAATCGATCAACCAACCAAACGGCCAATCAATCGGTTGGACGATCGCCCGGCCGACAGATCGACCGAGCGATGGATCACTCACTCCGTCAAGCAACCAAACATATAATCAATCGACGATTGAGCAATCAATCGATCGATCAACCGCTCAACCAACCAATCAAGCAATCAATCAACCAATCAACCAATCAACAGAACAATCAAATCGATCGATCAACCGCTCAACCAACCAATCAACCAATCAATCAACCAATCAACCAATCAACGGAACAATCAAACAATCAATCGCTCAATGAATCAAGCAATCAAACACTCGATCGATCATTCCATCAACATGGAAAGATTTGGGCGCGCATCTTTAAGGGCCCATGGTGAGGGTCGTGCTAATACGAAGTCATTGCGTGCGAAGGGTGATGAACAACGCTGTGGGTACCGTGCGGAGAGACAGAACAGGGGAGAGGAGGAGAACGCTGTGGGTACCGAGCGGAAGGTGATCAACAACGCTGTGGGTGCCATGTGTCATCAGGGGATGGGGTGGACGACAAAAAATTGCAAGGCCAGGGGATTGGGTGAAACGTTCTTGCTGCCAATCATACCTGGGAGTGGCGAACACGCGCCGATCTTTCGATGCTCCGTGTGCGTTGCGTCCTGAACTGCTGCCACGTGCTCCGCGTGAGGGCGGCTGCCCGGTTCGCGGAGGAACGAGACACACACGTGATTACGGCGCCACTGGCCACGCTGAGCCCTCTGCTACAGTGCGTTTTGGGGGTGGCGGAACGCAGCGCCGATGACGGTCGTGAGTTCCACGTGTGCGGGGACGGAGCGTGCATCGGACAGCCGGCGACGTGTGTTTGTTCCCCGATAGCAGGGGCGGTGCGAGAGCAGGACGACGGGCCAGCGATGGCGGTGTTTCCCCCGCGAGCACGACCAGCACTCTTTTCGATTGTCGTCTACTCCTGGCTCCCAGCGTCATGCAAGAAACGAAAATAAAAATCGAAAATCGCGCGGCAAAATTTGGGGGGGCGGGGGCGGGCCGGGGGAGGAATAGGGTCCAA